TTGAAAAATTAATGCAAGTCTGTAAAAAAAACTCATAGAAATAAAAATGAGAATAAATTTTCACACGTGGAGAGAGAATGAGATGAAATGATCCAAAAAGAATTTTATATTAAAGATATCATCCAAATATTAAAAGTGAATTCAACTGTTTAAATTAAAAGCGTGCTTTATTTTGTTTTAAAAAGAGAAGCACAATTGTCTCTTCTCTTGCAAATGACTTTATCTATACTTATTATATTATGAGAATAATTAAAATGTAATTATTTTTCTAATTTGTCCTCCTTCAACCACTTCTTAATTAGGTAATTTATAACATGGTTTCTCTTATGCAGTCTTAGTAGTTAGTTAAGTTGTCAGCTAAATTTGAACTTTGAGTCCAACCTAGACAACAATATGGTTCAACCACTTTTACCACTCTTGCTTACAACTCAGTGTCTCCTTTCCTTTCTATACCTATGATTGTCAAAATGGGACCAAACCCATGTTCTAAACATGGTTGCAATTTGGTTATTGTCTAACCTAACCATTAATAGGGACCATAGGGCTCAACTGCCAAGACCCCCTACCTAAAATTTATTTATTTATTTTTTTCTCTTTGAATTTAGAAGCACAATGTGCAACAATTAGTTGAGTCATGAGCTTGGTCTCGATAGATTCTGTCCTCCTTTGAAGCAAAGAGGACCCAACCATATTCCTTTTGGACCACTATACCAATTGAGTCCAATCCCACAATTGCAATGTAAGGTACTTTCTGCATATGCTATCCTCTTTGAAAAGGGCATACCTGTCGTTATCATATCCAGACTGAGGTGAGGGTTTGTACATACAAATTTCCCTTTATCTTGCATTTTATTTTCTTAATTCAAGAGAGATAACAATCTACATCCATATCTTTGAACTTGTGATTTTTTATTTATATTATTGTTATTATTTTTTAAAAGATTTTATTAATTGAAATAATGCACACACTCACCACTACATGGATTTCTTCATTTCTAATAAATGAAGGCTAAGATGATAAATATCTATCTTAGTTGTTCTTACAATTATGTGATATTAATTATTAGAAGATTACAATTAATCCCTAGTCTAATGGCTAAGGATTTGGGCTCAGTAAGTTCGAGTCCTTCCGCGCTCTCCTGACATTAATATCAAATAATTGTTTTAATTACCATAAGCTGCCCAAAATCACTTGGAACTGGATTATTATAAAATATTTCATTGTACCATAATATTTCTGGAAAAAAAAAAAAAAAAACAAAAAACAAACATGTTTCTAAATTCTAAGGAGGACAATTCTTCATCAGTTATCCTTCTAAACGCCATAGCTTCTTGGTATATGATTTTCTGCCCAGTGATAAAGGATAACTGGATAGGCCTTATCAACCAAGTCATTGCATCAAGTTTGTTCTTCTCATTTTTATTTAAAAAAGAAAAAGAAAATTTAAAGAAAGGACAACCATCTAAAAAAAAAAAAAATGAAACTTGAAAGTGAAGTTTTAAACCTCAGCTGCAGAAGGTTGTGGTTTAATACCTTCCATTGAGATTGGATTGGCACATCTTTAACAGGGTCTTTTAATCAAACATCCTAAAATTTATGGTTAGGTATCCTCTAGAATACTCCCATAAATGCATCTTCTGTTGAAAGGAATTGAAGCTTTAAACCTCAGCTGCAGAAGGTTGTGGTTTAATACCTTCCATTGAGATTGGATTGGCACATCTTTAACCATTGAGATTGGATTGGCACATCTTTAACAGGGTCTTTTAATCAAACATCCTAAAATTTATGGTTAGGTATCCTCTAGAATACTCCCATAAATGCATCTTCTGTTGAAAGGAATGTCCAGCTCCTTTTCATCTACAACAATTTTTCTCTGCTTAGAAAAATCCATAACCATCACTAAAAATTCCCCATAACAATTTTTCTTAACATTATTAACATGTACAGTTCAATCCATACTGGGCATTCACAAGGAAAAAAAACCAGAAGTCATGCATTAAGCTACCAAATTGTATCAGTATTCTAATACAACTTCTGTACGATATGGAATGCTCTGTTTTATGCTCATTGAGAGGATAAAATTCTGAACTATTTGAATTTATATCCCTAGAAACTATGCATACAAAGCATGGTGTTTTTCCATTATCAACAATTGAAGACTTAAAAAACGCCTGCAGTTTCCAGTTCAACTCGATCGTAATTTGACTATCTTGCTTGCTCACATGGGAGAGAAAAGAACAGATGAATCAATTAGTTAGTGCATTGCCATTGACTAACAAAATGGAACTTAGAACATTAAAGAGTAAAAAAGTATGATTCTGAAGCAATATATGAGATCCCAGTCGTTGGTGGTTCTGCAATTTCTAATCAGTTATTATTAATACTACATAAGTAATAAGTCCCAATCATACATGGGAAGTGTAGATGAACCAAATTTGTGGAGTTTTTAGAAACTACCATAAAAATTTTCAGACTCCTTTGTCAACTGCCTGGGAGGTCCAAAGAGAATTTTCTGCTGTTCACATACATGAAACAGCAATTCCATTTTAATTTACACATGCAAAAAGCAATTCCATTTTAATTACACCATGCAAAAAAGACTAAAAACAGAGAACAATGGTTCCTAAATTTAAAGATCAAAAAAAAAAAAAAAAAAAAAATCTAGAAGGCGTTTCACAAGAATAAGTTTTGGGCCTAAAAATGTGAAAAAGTTAAAAGGTGAATATGATCCAATAAAGCAGACGAAGAAAATATTTGGCCTAAGGTCCAACAATAAAGCAGACGAAGAAATATTTGGGCCTAAGGTCCAACAATAGCTGCTTAAAAGGGGAAAAGTGAAAAGAGGGAAAGAAAAGGCCTTTGGATAACATGAGTATCCATGATTGCGGCCAGTGAACAGGAGACCAGAAAAGAAGCTGTACTCATATGTACAAACTGTATTATCATTGACCAATATTAGAAGGCTACAACCAATTTCAGAGAATAAATAAATTGTCCACACGTTAATCAAGTCAGAAGATATAGAATTCCAAGTAGTTTGACAATAAGATGACAAACACCCTCAATTTTCCAATAATAAGCTCCTTACTTCTCCATATGCAGAAGAATTAAAAGATAAAAAAAAATAAGCGACCAAAATGTAAATTTAGCAAGTTAAAAACATGAATATTGCACTGACCCACATGATGCCCCATAGCTATTTAGGAAGTAGGATAGCAAGGTGCTCAAAAAGGTTATGCTTTCACAAATTTGAAAGGAGCACCTCTATATTGTTGTTAAATTACTCTCAGCTTCCTCCAGAATCATTTGTGAAGATGGACCAGTTGAAAACCCCAACTTTAGCATGATTTCTTCTAAACGATTTACATTTGTCAGGTATAGGTAGCCAACCTACAAAATTATTTCAACTAAGTTAGAAGCCAACCGACTTCTGAGGATCAATAAGCAAATTGGATAGCCAACTATTAAGCAAGCAGATGAATCATATTTAACCACACCGAATTGTATTTCAAAAGCTCACTAATAATGTAGTAAAACCAGATGGTAAAAAAGAGCACTAATAATGTAATAATGTTTCTAGTGAAGATGCTCTGTTATATACTGCTGCTCCGGCACGTTTTTTTGTCCGTGTTTTAGCTGAACCAATATTCTTTCCCCAACGAAGGACATCTCTGCATTAAGAATTATCAAATGCCATTAATGAAGTCAAAATTTTACAAATTATATATGTACTATTATAGATTTTAGTAGTCAATTTATAAGAATTTTTCCCAGATGATTGTGGGTCCAAGGGATCATAATAATAGCAGAAGATACATTCTTGTTACTGATCGCCCCTTCCACCTTTGCAAGCAACAAAAAATAACTAAAAAGGGGCATGATCAAAAAGCAATTTTCTAACTAAAACTAATAGACATACCATCAGTTTCTTTTTATGTGGTGGAACAACTCCGTTCATTATTAATTGGTTTAAGGGACTGCTAGAATATTGAACTAAAAATCATGGAAAAATTATCACAATCTATATTCTGAGTTTCACAATCTGAGTCTTTGGAAAATCTCTACAACAATTATCTCCACAGGCATAGACTGTTTGAAAATGAAAAATATTCTTCCACAGAAAGAATGTGCTTCTCTCAGCAAGAGGGGTTTAGTTTGATCTTGGATCTCTTCCAAAACTTGTCATTGAGTTCATGAAATTTATTTTCATTGGGTTCCGCGTCAAATCCAATGGTGCTTCCTAGTGGGACAATTACACGGAGCCATGTCCTTATATGTTGACCAAATTACACAAGAGCTTCATGATGTGGCATTTAACAAGTGTTATGTGGGCTTGGACGTGGTCTTATCCCTTGTTGCTTGTTTTAGTCTAATTAATATGTAAGGAATATGGGCTTATAGTGTTTATTTAAGTTGTTTTGGGCTGATTTTATGATGCATGCAATCTGCCCAATCCCAATATTAAGTTGTCTATTTTGGGCTGGAAATGATTCTATTTTGTGTGTACTAAATAGTTAGGCCCATGTGTTTTGGCCTTAGGGCAGCCTAGTTAGATGCTCTTCTTTAGGGTTAAGTTTGTTTAAGGCTTATATATAGCCTCTTTAAGATGTAAAATGGGATTTTTGGCAAACTTTGAATCAAAGACAGATTGTTCATGCTCTTGCATGTTCTTCTTTGCTTAGAGTGATAGTGAGAGATTGCTTCCTCTAATTGCATCAAGAATTGAGGTAAACTTATCAATTCGTTTGTGGCGTTTATCTTATCAATTCGTTTGTGGCGTTTATCTTGTTCTTTGCTCGATTATTGGTGTTACCGTTTCTTTATAAACGTGGGGTGCCATAGAGCGTTTAATCTAGATTATTGGTGTTTCCGTTTCCTTATAAACGTGGGGTGCCATAGAGGCGAACTTAATCTCATTCCTTTGATTTCCCGATCCCGGTTCCGTATCAGCATGGGTAAATCTTGTTAGGGCTAATGAGAAGGCAAATTTCATGTTTCCTTGCCTCACAAACCAGATAATAAACCTGTACCTCAAATATCGTCTCAATTCCAACAAGCATACCAAAAAGTCCAATCTTTTATTCATTTTACAAGCCATCATCACACTCTAAAAGAAAAACTAAGTTCTCCTTTGAATATGAGCCACCAACCAAACATTTTAAGTTCAGATTCTTCAGATTGTTATGAGCCTTTCGTACCTTTCTTCTTTTGATAAGCAATCATCACTAAGAAGTTTCTGAAGCAACTCAGATTCTTCAGATTGTTATGAGCCTTTCGTACCTTTCTTCTTTTGATAAGCAATCATCACTAAGAAGTTTCTGAAGCAACGCATCCTGATTGGAAGAAAACAGATATTAGCATGTCAACAAGCACAAATAACCATGAAATTTAAGAGTAGAAATTTAAATCAAATACTGACAGAGGAAATTCCTTCAAATAGACATCTATATAAAGGAAGCACCTCATTATTGGGGGGAAAAAGAGAATGAACGAGGTAACAATAAGATTTTACTATATTTACATTAATCAATGACTAATCACTAATCAGTCTTTTTTTGCAAGCGATTTATCATCTAGACAGCTAAAACTAAAGCCAAAAAACGGTAAGTACAAAAGGGGAGAAGAACTCATAATCATATATACAAAAAATTATATACAAGAGAGAGATTCTACCGAGTCGATTTACCCTTAAAACACAGTTAAAATTGAGCTGAACTGACAGACTTGGGAGAGAGGTTAACCCTTGATAGTAGGAAAGAGAGCGGAAAGAAAATCTCCCTGTTCCTCTTACTGGATCTATGTAAAACAACTGAAGTTTACAGTACAGATTACAGCATCCCTAGGAGGGGAAGGAGGGAGATTAAGTAAAGATTTTCCGAAGAAAATAGTAAGGAATTATAGACTATCAAAAATATAATGTAATAATGTAATATCATACCATACATAAACGTCAAATCGAGAATCAAAATTTTTATTTTTAGAATTGAGAATCGAATCGAATTGTCAGACTCGATATATAACTTTTCACAATTAATTAAAAATAAATACACAGAGGATAGATTCCCATTCATTTTATCAAAAGACACTAAAAATTTAATCGCAATAATATGTATTTATATACATTTCAATTCAAAATTATGCACTAAATACAAAATGAAAGAGAACCTAATGACTTGTGTAGTTGTCAAGTTCAAAATATCAAACTATGAAGTTAAAATTTTTAAATAAAAACAAAGTAAAAGTATCAAGCGATTAAATTTCCTATCCAAATCAATATTCATTCATTATCATTTCCAAATTCAAGCCCTTCATCGTTTTCATCTTCTAATAGAATTATATTTTCTTGCTCTCTTTCTCTATATTGAATTTTTCCATACTCGAATCGTAAGATTCATGCTCAACTCCAATTCACCCATAAGATTCAAATCATTTAGCATAAAAATTGAATTGAATTGTATGATTCCAATTGTGAATCATAAGATTTTGACATCATTGATACCATATTATGAATTCAGGCACAGAAAATATACAGTAGCACCCAAGACGCAAGTGCAAAGAGATAAAGAGTTTAGGAAAATCATACCTGTGCTTCACAGCGTACTACTGCTGTTACACGATCATTGTACTCGTCAATACTTAATGGAGGAAACAAAAAGTGTCTTCGAGCGTATAGCTGCAGGTTATAATAAACAATGATATCAGAACGGAGCATATCGTCAACCTCTTCTCATAAATACAAACTTCTTACTTCTAAGTTAAAACAATTTGCGGATGGATGAGTTTGTGCAGTAATTTTTTATCCTATATTTTTGCCAGCATTACAAGTCATTCCTTATCTATTCACTAATAAGTCATGCCATTCGTTTTTCATGAGTTTGTGAATTAAATAAAAGATATGTGCAGCAAAGAAAATAATCGCAAAATACAACCTAATGCCCCAAATCCACAGAGAAAGAAAAACAAAAACACCCACAAACTAGCGTCCAAAGTGTTCTTGCACATTATTTTGGTTACATGAAAAATATATTGACTAAATATCAAAAACAAGCTCTAGGCTCAGTGAGTATAAATAATCCCAGAACTCACCTCATATATGCTATCAACAATATAAGCTAAAGTAGCTGCATTATAAACTGATCGAGGCTTCTCCACTTTTGGTGGACTGGGCATCCATCTCTCATATCCCAAATAAGTATCACCAAATTTCGTTACAACCCCTAAATAAAATTCCAATCAGAAACACAACCGTCAAGCTTTAAAGTCTAAATTTTTTTTTTTTTTTAAAAAAATACAACTTAATTGCCATTTCCTTCACTTTACATTTTAATAACCCAATGAAAACAAAAATATCGCAACTTCAAAAATTTGGTGTCACCTTGAGCTATAGTGTTGCGCTTGAGAAGTTCTGAAACTGCTTGAGGAGTTAAAGTAATTGATGGTGAAGGCGTTGGTGATGGTGTTGGAGGTAAAGAGTTGGGTTGGGAAATAGGGTTTTTCTTGGGTTTTCGAGGAGCGTTGGGATTGTATGAGAGTCTTTGCTGGGTGTCCCATGAAGCTCTTACTACTTGTGAGGACATTGCGGATAGAGCAGCTGACATTTGCTCGTTTCAGTTGGGAAATTATGCGACAAAGGTTTTAGCTTTAAGTATTTTGGTAGCCATGGCCCTGCATCATTTCTTGGTCCATTGATTGGGTAGGCTTCGTTTTACAATCTTGGGCTCCTGATAGCTGACTTTGGTGTTGAAGCTATAGCTGAATTTCTCGAACGACAGGACGTGAATTCTGTCGTTTCTAATAGGTAGTCGTCGAGTTCACGTTGACCCGGTCGGCCTAGTTTTGGATAACAAAACCGACTTTCTCAATCCCAAAACGACTAAATTCGGTGTCTGTCGTTTTCTCTTATAAACTAAAGGATCGCTGAAGGGGACAGAGACGGCCTATCGTTCCTGATTGCTTCGAACGACAGAGCCACCAAAAATGATAGTAAAAAATTTAGTTCTGTCTTATATATCACCAAAAAGAGTCTGTCGTTGTAGCATAGGTTACCGTCCCATCGTTTCTCTTTTCTGAAAATTGACCAAAAGGTTGCGGCTAATTTTGTAATTAAATACAAGAATTATTATTGTCATTCTTTTAATAGTAAATAAACAAAAGGGAAGAACGAGAATGATAAAACTCTATATGTGGAACTCTGTTAAAACCCTAAATTCCATGATAAAGTGATTTTATATCTACGCCTGAAATAGTCCACAGCTAGCAGAGCTGAAGCCATGAGCCGATACGATAGCCGCTCCGGCGACCCCACTTCTTACCGTGATCGGAGAAGGTAACAATTATAGGCAGGCTTATTCGTTTATGTATTTGGTTTGTGTATTAGGCATAAACATCAAGTATCTGCTTCAGTTTAAGCCTTTTAGCTATTTCTGGATATGGTGTTTTGGCTGCAATATATCTTTAGCGCAGTTGATCATAATAAACATCAAGTATCTGCTTCAGTTTAAGCCTTTTAGCTATTTCTGGATATGGTGTTTTGGCTGCAATATATCTTTAGCGCAGTTGATCATATATATTTGTAATAGGCATAAACATCAAGTATCTGCTTCAATTTAAGTCTTAGCTATTTCTGGATATGTTGTTTTCGCTGCAATATATCTTTAGCTCAGTTAATCATGTGAACTTCGTTTATATAGTCACCCAATGTCAAACACTTTTATTTGAGGTGGTTTAGCGACCCAAGTCGAATTTTTATCGCTTCTATATTTGGTGTATTTCTTCGTCTTTGAGGTTTTTCTCGCTCTTGTTTACTGACTCATTTTCATTATTATGAAATAGTGCTTATAAATTTGAAGTTTAGTGGCAATTTAATTATGGATTTTTGGTACATTGACCAAATAGCAAGTGCTAAATAATTTCAATTCTCGTTCTTGTACATGTAAATATTGTTTTTGCCCCGCAACTGTTACATAGTTTCTTGTAACTTGTTCTCCTTTTTTTTTTTTTTTTTTTTTTTTTTTTTTTTTTTTTTTTTTTTAATTTGAGTTTGTTTAGATTTGAACTACTTGCTGCTGGTATGGGGTTAGTTTGATTCCATTGGTTCTTCATTTCTACGAGTTTTGTGTTTGTTTAGTGATTCAGGTTTTGGCGGGGTTCTGTTTATTCCGGTCCAGCTCGGTCCTCATCTGAGAGGAGAGATTATGGTGCTGACTCACCAAGGAAGTCGGATTTGGATGGGTTGACTCCATTTGAGAAGAATTTCTACATTGAGTCACCATCAGGCATCAGCTGCAGCAATGTCCGAGAGGGAGGTTGATGAGTATAGGCAGAGAAGAGAAATTACTGTAGGAGGCCGTGATGTTCCGAAACCTGTCAAGAGTTTTCCTGACATGGGGTTTCCAGGTATTCAATATAAATATTGAGAAAGCCCATTATTTTCCCTGATTCTCGTTACCATCACAAATTAGGAATTTTGGCTATTTGTTGGTCGCCTTGATCTTCTTTTTACTATTCAAATCAACTAGTTTACTGAGATTTGCAAACCTTTTATCCAAGATTTGTAAAATTCATTTTTTCTCTGCCATTTTCTCACTAGGATGTGTTTGCTTTTACTCTAGAATATGTTCTACAAGAAATAACAAAAGCTGGCTTTGTTGAACCCACACCCATACAAGCGCAAGGGTGGCCAATGGCATTGAAGGGTCGGGACCTCATCGGTATTGCTGAAACGGGTTCTGGGAAGACACTGGCCTATCTATTACCTGCTATTGTCCATGTCAATGCGCAATCCATTTTAGGTAAAAGAGTACCTTGCTAATATGTCCATGTCAATCATGCCGCATCCCATTTTAAGGTAAAGAGTACCTTGCTAATTTAGCACTTCTCATGCTGTTTTACATTCACTTTTATGTGTGTAGTTAATTGGTGATAGTATAATTTGCTCATTTTATCCAGCTCCTCGGGGGATGGCTCCAATTGTATAGTTTAGCTCCAACACGTGAACATGCTGTTCAGATACAACAAGCAAGCTTTGCTAAATGAGTTTAATTCAGGGGTTAGTGTTCAAGAAAGACCCTTGGGAAATTATACTCCGTACCGGCCATCACGATCGATATTGTTATAGATATTAGAATTTTTTCGTTGTTCTTTTCTTTTCTCAATATTTCTTTACTACTTAGTCTGGTTAGGATGACTAAACCCATTTTTAATGAAAAAAAAGGGTGTCAGGGCGGGGATTCCACAAAAACTCTTTTTACAAGCTCCAAACTTTTTAGATTTCACATTAAGGAATTGCAGGAAATATATATGAAGAATCTCTATTAATATGATAATCTCCTCATGAATTATTATTGAAAACTTCGTCGAAATAGTGTACGCATTTATACCTCTAAGAATCATTATGATACACAATTTACAGCAACAAAAAAAAGAAAAAAAGAAGAATTATTTAGTGAACCTTCATTTCAGATACTGATTGAAGTGTGCGTTGGCATGATCTGCGTCAGTAAAGAAGGATAGCTATACTGATTCGGTATATTTTAAGAAACCCTATTGTACAATATTTGGGGACGATCTACATTGGAGTTCATTTCAGTGAGGATTCCCATTACTGATCCTCTATATTTTAACAGAATCGTCCCTTTTATATGGTACGGAAGAATATGTGGAGTCAGATGTCTGGCATAGCATCCAGAGGACGAACGTTCTTTTGCTAGATATTATTACAGTATTCGTTATTGGTCATTTTCATAGATTACATATACCTTCCCTATTCATTGGCAGTATTTTTCTAAAGACGGGCTTACTTAAGGTGAGAAGAAAAAACTAAATAATAAAAAAAATAATAACCTATATGGAAAGAGGCTGAAGCCTCTTGTTTTCTCAAACAAAGTTAGGCCGCCGCATCTTTTCTTAACTTGCCGATCGCAAGCAGAGAGAATGTGTTAGGCATATAGTTTATTCCTCGGTGATTTGTTACCATTCTCTGACGAGTGATAAAAAAATGCCCATAAGCGTTTTATTATAGCCCATAAGATTAGTGAGTTAAAATTAAGAGATTAAGGTGAAATTTAGCTATAGTCGCAGTGTAGAGAATATTATTCTGTTATTATACGGAGGGTACAGGCTATCAACGGTGTGTTTGCCTATCCATACCCGGTCCATTAAGTTTGCTTATGGCCTAATATATTTAGATCATCATATTGATCAGAGTTGTAAAAACATAACTTGTAATTTTTGACATATTTTCTAGTGTTGGTTTTTTTTAGTTTTTATGTGCTGTAGAAGGTACGACTTTTGAAGTCCAATAAGTTAAGGAAGGTTGAATTTGAAATTGATTGGATATATATTGTAGAAAATTGTCTGTGTAGGTTAGCCGTAGTTAGGTGTTCATATTTATTGTAATTGTCCCATTTATGAACCAACTGTTTTGTGTAAATGGATCGAACCTATCCAGATTTTTACAGTACGTGAATTTTGGGAGTTTCCAGTTTTGTGAGTTTTGGGGTTGAATTAACATACTAAGTTCTTTGCAATCAGATTCGGATTTAGCTGTACCTTACCGTTTCTTTTTTGGGGTCAATATCAGCAATGCAGATTCAGTTGCCACGAATTCTATATGAAATTCGTGCCCTAAATTTCGCCGATTTAATTTTTGCTATAGGAAATTAAAAAAAAGGAGTAGTGTAGAGCATGAACTTGGACACCAATCCAACCCCGAGCGAACCAAAATGGTGGATATGAATCAGTACCAGTCTTCTTACTCGTCGGAGGTCAGATATGCTAGTTGGTACGTTGCTGTTCTTATTTTCTAAATATTTTCAATTAATAGAAAAATATAATAGAAAGAAATAGTAGAATAATAAATAAGAATAGGAATCTCTTATCCCGCGGCAGAGAGATTTTGTCATGCTCATAATTATCTTGGCTGTTTATGTCTCTGCATGACCACTTGATTAATGTGGAGGGTGATAGTGGATAAGGTGATGTGTTTTAGGCGGGAGCTGAACAACGTGTGGAGACTTTATATCTTACTGGAAAGTAATTTACCTCTTTTGGGGTATTAAGATTAAAGGTTTACGTAACCGGTTATTCTTTGGGTGAATCCGGAGCATTTTAAACTTAATTGGGCTATACTCCTTTCTTTTATGGTTCATGTATAATTATCCTTGGTTGCTATGTTAAATTCTTGCGCCTTTGTGATATATACATAAGGATAACCGTTGAGAGCTTTGATTCATCTGTATACCTTTTAATCTCTTAAAAACCTGTAAGTATAATTGTTGTTGTTAATTGGGTGAGTATAATTTGCTTTCTATTTTATCCAGCTCCTGGGGATGGTCCAATTGTATTAGTTTTAGCTCCAACACGTGAACATGCTGTTCAGATACAACAAGAAGCTGCTAAATTTGGTGCATCATCGAGAATTAAAAATACATGTATCTATGGTGGGGTTCCAAAGGGACCTCAGGTGCGCGATCTCCAGAAAGGTAGGTGGCGGCTAGGTTTGAGACGACATTGCTTCTATACTGTATTCTGACTTTCATGAAATGGCTATCCTGTTATTCATGGTAATTGAGTTTATGATGGTTTTGTTATTGTTTAAACTCTGCAGTCAATCTATTATTTATGAATATAGCAGTCATTGTTCTTTTCCTTTATTTCTGCCCCTTTACAGGTGTTGAAATTGTTATTGCCACGCCTGGAAGGTTGATTGACATGTTGGAATCACATCATACAAATTTACGGAGGGTTACCTACCTGGTGCTGGATGAGGCAGATCGGATGCTAGACATGGGGTTTGAGCCTCAAATACGAAAAATTGTTTCTCAGGTTTTTGCTTTTAGGCTTGTCTCTTCTTCCGATAGAAATTTTACCTCTTCTTGGGAAGACATGCTATATATAAGTTATCTTACAATGTCATTTACAGTAAGAATTTCACATGGACAACAGTGTTAGTCTCCGGTGCCTCTTTTTCCTCTTGTCCTGGTTTCTTTGGTGATGCCAGTCCCGTTTAAGGATCAATTTGTTCATAGTTGGAGACCTTAGATATTTTACGTGCATATATTTTATTAGGGGACTGGATTGTTCATATTTCTAATTCAGCTTTTGAAGTTTCAGTTGTCACTTCACCGCACTAGTAGATGAGTGATAAAACATAGGCAGCTAGTAAACTACATAGGAGTTTTATTTTGTGAAGTAAAAAGAAAAATTTGGCATCTGTTTAAATATTCTAATGTTTATTGTTATAAATGGTTGACTTATAGTTTAATTGTCAAGTGCAACACACCAGAAGCAAAATAATAAAATTAAAACATGTATATATATAGTTAGGAGATTGATTTTCTCTCTCATATGTGTAGTAGTGCAAGCATTTTCCTTGCTCACTCTTAAGATTATTACTCAATCTCCTATTTTTTGGCAGATTCGTCCAGATCGCCAAACTTTGTACTGGACTGCTACTTGGCCTAAAGAGGTTGAACAACTGGCAAGGCAATTTCTGTATGACCCATACAAAGTAAGCTACTGGATAAAGCTTTTTGATTCCCATGACATGCTATTTTCTGCAATTAGTTTTGATTTTACATTTGTGTTTGATGCAGTTGCAGATGCCATTGACTATTTCCTTTTCATTCGGCTTTTGAGCTTCTGAAGTTTCGTAGTCATCTTTTTGAATAATCTCATATCTGTATGATCATGTTGTATCTTATAGAGTTCTGAAGTCTCTTTTGGTTTTTAGATTCTAACTTGAGTTTCATTGATGTTCTATTACTTAATTGGCTGTTATCCTTTGATATTATGCAGGTGATCATAGGATCTCCTGATTTGAAAGCTAATCATGCAATATGCCAACATGTTGACATTGTTTCTGAGAATCAGAAATATAATAAGTAGGATATACTATATGTTTTTTTTCTTATATTTGTACTTTCTTGTCATTTATATCCCATAATATGGGATGTGTTTTTGTTAGCAGCAGCTTGACATAGCCCTTTTTGTATTACAGGCTGGTGAAGTTACTGGAGGATATCATGGATGGCTGCCGAATTCTGATTTTTATGGATACCAAGAAAGGTTGTGACCAGATCATTCGGCAGCTTCGCATGGATGGATGGCCCGCTCTTTCGATTCATGGAGACAAAAGTCAAGCAGAAAGGGATTGGGTCCTCTCAGAGTTCAACCCGCTCTTTCGATTCATGGAGACAAAAGTCAAGCAGAAAGGGATTGGGTCCTCTCAGAGTTCAAGGCTGGCAAAAGTCCTATAATGACTGCAACAGATGTTGCTGCTCGTGGATTAGGTAAATATGATCGCACCATATACCATCTTGTTTGTTGATCTTACTTACCATTATTTGTTGACATAATTTGGTTTTTCTGGTCGTCCAAAGTTTCTATATGTATTTGTTTAAATTGTGATATGTCCTTGCTGGCATAATCCCATCTCAACCATGAAGGAAATAATCATTTTCATTTCATTGCTATTGTTCAAGGCTTCTCTTACCTTTGATGGGCTCTCTGATCCTACTCTATTGATTGGTGGTGTCATGCTGGTGGTTAGAAAGTGTAGATATTTATGTTTTTTCCAAAATTTGGAGTTCATGTCTTTCCCTTCAAATATCTTTTCGGGCATCTGATCTCTCTTTGGCTTGCAAGGGAGAACTAACATGGGTTTTGAGGGGAGCACCTTCTCTTGACTTGTCTATCTCAGTACCCAGTTCCTTATTATTTTATTTTGGTGGCAGATGTTAAGGATGTAAAATATGTAATCAATTACTTATTATTTTATTTTGGTGGCAGATGTTAAGGATGTAAAATATGTAATCAATTATGACTTTCCTGGATCCCTTGAGGATTATGTTCACCGGATTGGTTGAACTGGAAGGGCTGGAGCAAAAGGAACAGCCTACACTTTCTTCAAAGCTTCAAATGCCAGATTTGCTAAGGAACTTATCACCATACTTGAGGAAGCTGGGCAGAAGGTCAGTCGAGAATTGACTGCAATGGGTCGTGGTGCACCTCCTCCTCCAGGTTGGTTGACTGTAGGAAGTTTTTCGGATGCATATACCTTTTTTATGTAATATGGTGGAAATTGATATTCTGAACATGTTTTTGTTGTAACTGAAGTCTGACTTTGTAATTATAAGCTCAAAGGGACAGTCGTATAACTTGACAATCATTGCTGCTATATTTTTATTGTCCTGTACCATACAAGATCCAAAATCACAAAGGAGATTTTGAGAATGCAAGATCTGCCACTGCTGTTACCTGTTGGTCTAATCAACAATGACTTGATAGGTCTAGTAAAATATTTTCCTTTCCTTTCGTTTCTTTTCTTTTTCTTTTTCTTTTTCTTTTGTAAGTTTATGTCAAATCTTGCAATCTTGGATGAACTATGATTTTATGATCACACCATTTTTCCCCAGTCATTAACACTATTGCAGACTGATTATCTAATCATATGACCTGATGATAGCTCTGTTTCTCCTGTAATGTATAAATATGTTCTTAGTTGCTAAAGCACTGTTTTGTTTTTGCATCTGATGAATCAGGTTATGGAAGTTTCCGGGAACGTGGGAGGCGTTATGGTGGTGGCCGCTCATGGAGCTGATTTATGAGATCAATAACTGAAGGGAAATTTATGTCCAGAGCATAGATACCTGAGATGTCATGCCTAAACGTTGTTCCATTTTATCATTTTTTTTTTTTTTAATTTCATTGTTAACTTCCTGAAAATATAGGGCTGTTAGTTCTGTAAGATATGACTTAAGATATGACTTGTTGGAATGAGTCAACAGAAGGTAATGCTAATTGAAATCTGTACAAATAAGTTTAAAGATTCATAATGCTTTCACTCATTAATACGGTATACGATACAAAGCTACAACTTGAGCCAATTTAAAAAATTTCAGTCGTTTTTCTAATATTCTAATTGTAAATTGCTCTGTTCTGTAGTTTGAATTATATGATTTTTTTTTTTTTTTTTTTTTTCTTTTTTTTTTTTTTGTTTTTTGAGAAGGAAAACACCACATGAATGAATGGGCTACATGGTATCTGTTGTACTTATTTTTTTCCGATTATACTAAATAATTTCAATTTACTGTTCTTAGATGCGAAATTCAATTTTTAACAATAATACTGTTTTTTGCTTAAATACTTTGTGCTAATTTTCTGGACTAATTCTAAAAAATTAAATACTTTAAAAAAAAAAAAAAAAAAAAATAATAATAATAATAAAATAAAAATCCATTCTTTCCCTTTGAAGACGTAAGCATCCAGGACAATGGTAAGAGAAGCAGTATTATTAACTATTAAGTAGAACAAGGAACAGTCGCATTCGCAGTCGCAGTCGCGCGGTATCGGGGAAGTAGGAAGAAGCGAGTCTAAGAGAGAAGAAATCTGATATCAGAATACAAATTGAGTGAGGCAGGTCCAAAGCTCTACGCCAACAAGCCTAAGAAAGGTATCCAATCAAAGTCATCGCGAGTAAATTTGAGCGCAACAACTCCCAAGATTCTTATAACACTTTCTTATTTGTTTCTTCTCTTCAATTATTTGAGTTTGGTTTGGTTGTTGACTCGATTTCTTTTATTGCAATAACAGCGCAGCTTAAGCAATTTCAGGAGCAACTGAAGGCAAAAGATTTCTCTTCCCCAACACCAACACAGACACCGTATGCATCAGCATCTTCAGCTGCTGCTGAGTCGTACAGAATGGGGTCTCAGTCTACAGCTCCTCCTCCTCCTCAGCCTCCTGAGGAGTCCTTTGCTAGACGTTACAAATTCCTTTGGCCCCTCATCTTGACTGTCAATCTAACTGTTGGAGGTACTTTCTTTTCCCAAATTCTACTCATTTCTGTTTGTATCCAAATTCTACTCATTTCTGTTTGTATGTCAGGCATATTTAATGGTTTGATGCTGGCAATACTGAAATGGGTATCTTGATTTTGGATAGGAGAGGTTTATTATTATTATTTAGTACTATGGTTTATTGTATCTGCTGATAAGGTAACTTTGAGCCGGTGAAAGATTTAAAGGCCTCGGTTTTTCTTAGGGATTCTTGAATTTCTTTTGGCTTCTGAACGGAGGATATTTGTCTAGTTCTATATGTCTGTTGGCCGTGCATAAATTTTTTTCAAATCACGGAATTGTAAAATGAGTATCTGGATTCTCTTTCTTGAAAACATTCTTGATTTTGTTACTGGAGGATAATAGGGTTCAGGGCTTATTGTTGGACATGTTGGTTTTTCAATTGCATTTCAAGGATCTCCTTTTCTTTGAGTAATTACTTTAACAGGTTCCAGTTGTAATATCTGTTGACATGCCCTTATATCTGTTTGGGTATTCTTAAACAATTGCTCTTGGTGCTGCACAGGTTCAACTTCATAAAATTTTGATTATACATACCACAATTTTATTCTCTTGCCGAAACATTCTTCAAAATCAAATTTCACGTTTTTACCTTTTTAACAGTCTCCATGGGGCGTCGCAACTGGAGCCATTGCTGGACACCTGGTTGCAACATCTATCGCTATTCTGGGAGGAGCTTTTCTTGCCAAATATTCTGGTAACAACCATGTCTTTATTGTCTTTTTTTTTTTTTAATATTTTTTTTGTCACTCCTATAGGCATCACAGCTTACTTTCCATTTTCCATCCAACTCACTCCACATTGTTCAATCAGGTTGGCTACTTGGGCGGTGTTCTGTTTCTTGTTTTTGCTGTTGCCACGTTTTTTGGAGTCTTCTAATAAATTCATCGCAAGTTTAGAGAGAGAGAGAGAGAGAGAGAGAGAGTATAGTGTCACCGTAACGAAGCACTGCACCTGGGATTATCGGATGTCATTGGTTAGTAGAGAACAAAGTAGACAGAAAGTAGCCTGAGATACACCATGGATATAGCTGTTACAGATGCTTCAAAAAGTCCTCAAGTTAGCATCACTGTAAGCTGTCTTGTATTGAACTATTTGTAGGATTATTATCTTAGATAAAATTTAGGTGTAGAGATGGCTATGCACATGCTAAAATTCTCAAATGCTGAAATAAACAAGGTCTTGGTGTTATTCTGTGACCTTTGAAACAACAACATATACTCTTGAAGATACTTAATGATTAAGTCCAGAAAACACACACAATGGATGGACTGAGCTTCAATGCTCTATTGTTTTCATTAATAGCAATTGTCCGTTAATAGTATGCGAAGCCGTTCATGTTGTCTGAACGCATCAAAGCTTTAAGTCGGGGCAAGGCTTTTTGCATGTCGTCTCATAAAATCCATACGAACTTCAGACGACATCGTTTACCTTGGTTAAACTGACGTGGAACGACAATGTTTCAAGTAGACGATGACTTGGGTTAAAACAACCGTGTCTAATAAGTAAGAGACACTTGGCTAACCGCGTATAAAGGTCGACGACATATCAATACAGCACAAAGGGGGTGTAACAATTGTACAAAAGGCATACCAGAGGAAGGAAATGTCGTCGTTTATTGGGATAAAACTTTCCAGCATTTTTTCTTGTAACTGGGTTGTAAACGACATACCAAATTCGCACAATTCTCCTTATCCACTTGCGATGGCGTAGGAATAGCCACGTTCCAGTTCCCTTAAACATAACAATAAATTTTTAGCAAGTGAGCAAGGGATCAGAGAAGCTTGAGTTGAGACCAAGAAAAATGTCAAGAGAGCTATTATTTCTCCATGGCCACCATTATCAAATATCAAGAAAACCAGCTCTGCTTCTCTGTACTCGCAATTTCAATGTCTTACCGTCCAAATTCCAATCCCAGCTACCAAAGGAGCATCCAACTAGGTCAATGAAGAGGGCATCATTGGAACTTTTGAGACCAAATACAACCAGTAATGGAAAATCATCACTACTAACAATAGCAGCAATAGCTGGAGAGAAGGAGGAGGACGAGTGCCTTCGCCACCACTTGATTTAACAGAAGACAATGTTAGACAGGTCTTAGCTGATGCTAGAGAAGAGGCAAGTAGTACTCTTTCTTTGATGCTTGTTTTTGCTTTAGTTACTCATTCAATTATTTATTGATCAAAGATTTGTCAGTTTCGAAGTTTAAATTTGAAACATGGTGTGTATTTCTGCAGTTTGGAAAGCTTTTTGCACTGAAGTTAGCATAACAGGTGACTTTCCTTTTAGGTATATTTGCACCAGGAATTATTAAGTGCATCCAATGTATCTCGAATAATGAAATATAGGAAAAGCTGATCTTGCTGAATTGGATGGACCATTTGTGAAGATCAGTCTCAAAGGTAGGTTCACTAAAAAAAAAAAAAACGCGTTTTTGCTACCGATGCGAACGACAAAAATCGGTCACAATTTTGCGATGATTTTGCGACCAATTGCGATGATTGTGAGAGTGAATATCTTGCGACGGATTTGCAACCAAACGGCGATAGGATCTGCGATCGATTTTATATCTGTCGCTAATTGTAGCTCTAATGATTACCGCCAGTTTGGTTATCATTTTGCGACATGTTTAAGACGCATTTGGGACTGATTTTGCGATGGATGTGCGACAATCTAGTTGTCCGTCGCAAAATTGCACGTTGCAAATTCAGCATCAAATTCACTTTTTCGTTTGCGAAAGATTAGCGACCGATTTGCGACTGACTGTTTGCGACTGACTGTTATGGTCGCAAATCGGTTGCAATTTGCTCCACATTAAAATGACATCGCAAAATTGAAAATTTCAATCGATTTTTTATATAATTTGCGACCGATTTGTCGTTCGCAAAATTTAGAGCTTTATTATGCGATCAGCCTCCTCCTTCTTTCTTCTCCTCCCCCGTTTGCAGCATCGTCCTAGCCATATGCAGCGCTGTTCCCAACCGTTTGCTGCCTCCTTCTCCACTCTATTGCAACGTCAGTCGCCGGAGAATCCCTTCTCCTCTTCATTCGCGGTCGTCAGGTCAGGTCAGGTATGGTTCTATTTTTTTTTATCTTTTTCGTTATTTTTTTTGGAAATTTCATTTTTTTTTTTTGGTTGTTCTTGTAGTTGCATGACAAAAAATCAGTTGTTATTTAGTTGTTTTAGTTATTTTAGTTGTGATTTAGTTGTTATTTTGCATTATGTGGGTTATTAAAATAAATGACAAAAGGAAAAAAAGAAAATGTGATATTGTAATGATAATTTTAGAATTTTTTATATTTTAGGCAAAATTATATATGTAATTTAATCAATGTATTTTTATTGCTAGATTCAATTTTATAAGTAAAGTATGCAATAAATGCAATTTTAAAATTTAAAATGTTGAATTGATTGAAATAAAAATAAAGACTGTGATCACACCTTTTGTAAATTTTAAATATATTTAAATAATAAAAAGAAACATAATAAATTCTCATGTTATTTGTTATTTATTTCTAAACACTTACCAAATTCTTAGTAAAATTAAAGTTGAAGTCTAAACGACTTACCAATCTAGTAAACTTAATAATTGAAATGAACACCTTTGTAACGTAGTAAGTAAAGTGAAAACAAATAATTGAAAAAAAGAAATAAATCAATTTAAATTATATGTTGTAGTAAAATAAAGATTAAAAAGAAACATAATAAATTCTCATGTTATTTGTTATTTATTTCTAAACACTTACCAAATTCTTAGTAAAATTAAAGTTGAAGAACATCCTTTTGTAACGTTAGTAAAGTAAAGTGAAAAACAAAAAATTAAAAAAAGAAATAAATCAATTAATATATGTGTAAGTAAATAAACATAATTGTGTAACTAAAATAAATGAAAAATAAACATAATTATGAAACTAAAATAAATGACAAATAAACGTAATTGTATAACTCAAACAAACCATAATATAAAATAATTGATAAATCAATATACGTGGAGTGTTAAAATAAGATGGTTATTAAAGCAGCGACTGAAAAAATGTAGATCGAGGGGATCCATCGCGCCACCTCGCCACCGCCTCCCGCCGCAGTAGCTACGCCATCTCAATCCACTATTCAGCAGTATATTTTTCCAACTTAATACAAAGCTATTTTCTTGATCTTTCACTCGATTTAATAGAATAAATTTATTAAAAGAAGTGTTTTGTTTCTTGATTAATGTCTGCCAGATTGAAAATGAATATGGACCCATGGAATATGAACTTGGTGCACCTGGTAAAGCTTACTCCTACTGGGCAGCAAAAATGGCTGTAGGTCTTGGCACTGGCGTCCCATGGGTCATGTTCAAGCAAGATGATGCCCCAGATCCTGTTGTCAGTTATCAGCAAATCTTGTTTTACCTTTTAGCATCCTCTTTTTACTTTTTCTTGTCAACTTCATATCTAATTCTTTATGTTACTCATAATATGTATCCCTCACTTCCTTCGTGGGTTGTCAGTTAGCAGTGTGCTTTCCCATTTTCGTTCATTGATGAATTGAATTATTAATTCTAATAGCACATGGCTTAGCTTTGATTCTCAGCTCTATCAGTGGCGCTGTCCTTTTTTAAATTCTCTCTTGCCTTAGAGGCTCTTTTATAATAAAAAGGTTAATGACAGCATCTCCTTGTTATTCATAATCACCACATATTTCAAATTCCATAGTCAATGGTGGTGATCAATTATAGTTGACCTCTTCTTTTCTTGAGGTATGAGGAAGCGATTTTTGTTTATCCAGTCTTTTGGAATTAAGTATGTTCGGTTTAACTTTTCGTGTGTTGCAATCATACTCTCCATCATTTTCTTATTATACCGTGTGATTTGTTCTTTCAACTTATGTGTTTGAGCGGCTCTTAATATTTCATTTTCCATGTTGTCTCAATAGATTAACACCTGCAACGGTTTCTACTGTGACTATTTCTCTCCAAACAAACCTTATAAACCCAAGATGTGGACTGAAGCCTGGACTGGCTGGTAAAAACTCCATGCTTCTTGCTCGGCAGCATTTTCTTTATATCCATCATCAATACAAGAATTACAGTTTCACGGAAATTACAGTGGAATATCAGCTGATTACCTTTTTTCTCATTTTAATTTTTTCTTATTTTAATTTTTTCTTGCAGGTTTACTGAATTTGGAGGTGCAGTTCCTTACAGACCAGCTGAAGACTTGGCATTTTCAGTTGCAAGGTTTATACAGAAAGGAGGATCATTCATAAATTACTACATGGTAATTTAGTAGTTTCTATAATTTACTAATTGAGTTGCTTTGTATCTTAGTTATGTGAAGTCTCATATGCTTGTTTTTGTGATTTAGTATCATGGAGAAACAAATTTTGGGCGAACTGCTGGTGGTCCAGAAACAAATTTTGGGCGAACTGCTGGTGGTCCTTTCATCGCTACAAGTTATGATTATGATGCTCCTATTGATGAATACGGTATGTGCAAAGCATATGCATTTTAGTGCAGTTTGTTCCTTTTGTGTTTATCCATTATCTGGTTTGCATGGTTTAACTTTTAACTAGAGACTTATGATATGCCCCATGTTTTTTAGCTTTCATATAAAGAGAAAGTAGGCTGTAATATTCATATTGTCATTAAGTATCATTGTCCACATCTGTGGAATAGGTGCTGCTGGCACTCAAGACTTCGCCATGAATCGAGGGGCAGCTCAGTAGTTCGTATGCTGGTTCTGGCCAATCTATTGTTGTGCAATGGTACTTGAATTGCTGAAATATGCAATTAACATGATTATCTATAAGTCAACTGTTGAGTCCCATCATGTAATCTGTGATGCTGAGATGATGATTACCTATGTTCTTTTTTCAAGTTGTTCTTTGGTCATAGATGTCATTTTCCTCTTTATTAAGATTTTGATAGCTTGATCTCTGTTAAATCGTCCTAACTGATAGCATTTCGTTTATTTACATATATTTCATGGTGTGGTGGTTCCTTCCCCTAGTCAATCAATAAATATTTGATTAATGGTTTTTATGGATAAGGAATGATATTATTACTGTTGTTAGTTATTTTAGCAAGCAAAATGTTCTTATTATTGAAAAAGCTTTTAAAACTGTTCCTCCTCAAGATTACCCTAATCTCTTCTTCAGTAATCACGACTTTGATGTTGATTGTTTATTTGTTTTGCATCATATGAAGGTTTAGAATTATTTTTTTATGTAGGACTAATCAGGCAACCTAAATGGGGTCATTTAAAGGATTTGCACAGAGCAATTAAGTTGTGTGAACCTAAATGTGATGCCACTTGGAAATTATCAAGAGGTTCAATATAACTCTTTGTTCTATACAAATGAAGTCTTCTTATTTTCAAAGGACTATGTTACTAAATTTTACTTGTTTCTTCATTATTTATGTGCAGGCTCATGTATTTAAATCAAAATCTGGAGCTTGTGCAGCATTCCTTGCAAATTACAATCAGAAATCATTTGCAAAAGTGGCTTTTGGGAATATGCATTACAATTTACATCCATGGTCTGTCAGCAGTCTTCCAGATTGCAGGAACACCGTTTACAACACAGCAAGGGTCAGAAATGCTTCCCCACAAGTTCTAGAATATTATTAGTCCACACTTTTGTTGTTTCTTTGGTTTCGCTAAACTGAAGACTTTGTACAGCTTGGCGCACAAAGTGCTCGAATGAAAATGACTCCTGTTCCTATGCATGGAGGATTCTCTTGGCAGGCATACAGTGAAGAGACATCTGCAGAAGGTGACCACACCTTTACAATGGTTGGCTTGCTGGAGCAGATAAACACTGCTAGAGATGTGACAGACTATTTGTGGTACTCAACAGAGTGAGTATTATAACAATGCAAGATCTCCATTGTGTTACAGTTTGCATTTTGTGTTAAAACTCACAATCTTTTGCTACTCTGCGTTCTAGTATGTATATCTTTCTCACGTGTTTTTTTTTTTTCTTCATTGGCAGTGTTCATATCAACCCCAATGAAGGCTTTCTGAAGAGCGGAAAATATCCTGTTCTTACTGTTCTATCAGCTGTCCATGCTTTGCATATTTTTGTCAATGGTGAATTATCAGGTGGGATTTGTGTTTCGGGCTTTGTACTGTCCAGCTCTGTTTATCATTAAATATGAAAAGAAAAGCTCATACTGACCAAATAAACTATTCGATAAATATGAAATGGGGATGAGTTGATTTATAATGTTTACTTGTTTAGACATATGCTACTTTAATAGACTGGATATTATCTAAGTGCTAGGCTCTTTTAACTATCCAATGAGCCTTCTCCTAAAATGGAACACGGTAGTAATTTACATGGCTCTTAATTTGAAGGTACACTTTGAGAAGTTTGTGTCAAACTTCCTCACTGTTGCTTTGCGTCGCTCGTTAAAATAACTTTGTTGACTTGTAGCGTTCTGTATGTGGTTTGAGGTATATTCTGACCTATAGCATTGGTTTTCTTAACCTTGAACAGGAACTGCATATGGAAGTCTAGAATCCCCAAAGTAGACATTTAGTCAAGGTGTCAAGATGAGAGCTGGTATCAACAAAATTTCTCTTCTCAGTATTGCTGTCGGACTCCCGGTTTGTACCCTCTCTGTCTGTCTGTCTGTCTCGTCTGTCTGTCTCTCTCTCTCTCTCTCTCTCTCTCAGTTATGAATATCCACGCCAATTTGATGATTTTTGAGCAGTTTTGGAAATAATTTCAATTCAATACTGTTATCCTTTTGCTGATTTTGTTTTGTTGTAGAATGTTGGTCCACGCTTTGAGACATGGAATGCTGGTATACTTGGACCTGTGACATTGAATGGTCTCAACGAAGGAAGGAAGGATCTGTCTTGGCAGAAGTGGACCTACAAGGTTCGTTTTTGAATATATGTCATACCCTTTCTTGTGACACTAGTATGTAAGGGACTCATCTATTTGCTTGCCGCCAATCAGATTGGTCTAAATGGAGAAGCATTGAGTCTTCATTCACTGAGTGGGAGTTCATCAGTTGAGTGGACACAAGGGTCTTTTGTGTCTCATAGACAGCCACTCATGTGGTATAAAGTGAGTATCTAAGACTTACTTTTAAAGATTGGTATAAAGTGAGTATCTAAGACTTACTTTTAAAGATGCTTTGTTAATATGTTTCAATAATCTCATTTGGTATTGCATCAACACATGAATCAGGTACTTTTAGTATTTTTAGAAGAAGTGCTCATTTTCCTAAAAGTAATGGCCAAAGCAAGTTGTTAAAACATGCATTTTTTTTTTCTTTTGCTCTCCTCTCAAAAACTAAGGAATGATTTTTCTTTTTAACCGAGAAGCATGCATGTTCTCCCCCCTTTGGAGCCTAGTGCCAGCTTTGCTCCCATAAGCATTTCATTTTTAACTGAACTATCTTTGGTCATAGATGTCATTTTCCTCTTTATTAAGATTTTGATAGCTTGATATCTGTTAAATCGTCCTAACTGATAGCATTTCGTTTATTTTGATAGCTTGATATCTGTACAGTTACTATTCATGATTCATGCATACAGTTACTATTCGAGTATACTGTTACTATTCATGGTCACTATTCACGTATACTACTGTTCACGTATACGGTTTATGTCGGTGATGATTTTCTGCGCAAGTCAACATGGACAAGCAAAATGATCAGTCTAAATGGCGAGAATTACCATATATGGAGAAATGAGAGATCTCCTTATGGTAATCAAAATGCATTTGTCTGTATTTAGTTGAACTAAATCGGAAGACAAGACTGATAAGGAATGGGCTGTCGAGCATGCGTCCAAATTTCGGTTGGTAGATTTGATGATGAAGGTTTCTGTTTTCTGTAGCACCTTCAGAAATGGTCAGTGGAAGCTCACAAAATCATTTGTGGTAGCTAAAGACCGAAAGCTGTACGTGATGCATGCAAAACTCTCCCAAGACACTTTGAGTGTAGTGGAGAATGACAGTACAGTTGAATTGCGGCATAAACGACTACGCCACATGAGTAAGAAAACTATGGCAAGAAAGAACGTACTACCTGGATTGGATGAAGTTCACCTAAATAAGTGTCCTGATTGTATGGACGAAAAGCAAAACATAGTATTTTGTGATATGGTGGAAATCGATATTTTGTGATATTTATCAATGACTATTCTAGGAAGACCTGGGTATACGCTTTGAAGTCTTCTAAACCTAGTTGAGAGACAGACAGGCAAAAAGCTAAAGTGTATCAGGACAGATAATGGTGGAGAATACACTGGGCCATTTGATGCTTTCTGCAAAGAGCATGGCATTCGACATCAACGACACCTCCCAAGACGCTGCAACTGCAAACTGAACAGTTTGGCTGAGAGGATGAACATAACTTTGATGGAGAGAGCCAGATGTTTACTCTCACATGCAAAGTTGTCTAAAAGATTTTGGGATGAAGCTTTACTCAAAGTAGTTTATCGTTCACCATGTTTCCCTCTATAGTATGATACTCTAGAGAGAGTATGGCCAGGAAAGGATGTTTCCTATGATCATTTGCGCGTGTTTGGTTGCAAAGCCTTCATGCATATCCCGAAGGATAAACGGTCTAAGCTTGATGTTAAGACTAGACAGTGTGTATTCATTGGCTATGGCCAAGACAAATTTGGCCATAGGTTTTATGACCCAATCCAGAAGACGTTATAAAAATCGTGATGCTGTATTTGTTGAGATAACACAACTAACTACACCACCATAATATAAAGTAGAGTGCAAAGATCTGATGGAAGACTCAATAGACTCAGAAGAGTCCCCTCCATAGATCACGTAGACGAATTGAAGATGAAAGAAAATGTTCCACAAGCAACAAGTGCCAGAGTTAGAAAATCCGAAGTCCTAATGAAAAAGAATCAGATGAAGAATATGGTGTTCATGTTCAACCACAGCACCGGAAGGTTAAGAAGATCTAGTAGAGTCTGATAACCATCTACTAGATATCCAGTCAATGAGTATGTACTGACGACTGACGGGGGAGAACCTGAAAGCTTTGAAGAAGCCATGGAAATGAACACAAGAGGAACTAGATTGAAGCCATGCAAGATGCAATGAAGTCCTTACATGAGGATGAAACATTTGAGCTGGTGAAGTTGCCCAAAGGCAAGAAAGCTTTGAAGAAAAAGTGGATGTTCAGGATCAAGCAGGAAGAACATAGTCAAGCAGGAAGAACATAGCTTCCAACCACAATTCAAAGCTAGACTGGTTGTGAAAGAATTCAATCAAAGAAAGGGTATTGATTTTGATCTTTTCATCAGTTGCGAAAATGACATCCATTCGAACAATGCTCGGAATGGCCGCCAGTTTTAAACTGGAAATCGAGCAAATGGATGGAAAGACTACCTTCCTACATGGACATTTGGAAGAAGAAATATACATAGAGCAGTCAGAGGGTTTCGTAGAAAAAGAGGATTGTGTTTGCAAACTGAGGAAGAGCTTATACGGCTTGAAGCAGGCACTGAGACAGTGAGACAAGTGGTACAAGAAGTTTGAGTCTGTTTATGGGGGAGCAAGGCTACAGAAAGACTACTTCAGATCACTATGTTTCTTATGAAGAATGTTTCTATGAAGAAATTCTTTGATGATGACTACATTGTTTTTGCTCTATGTGGTTGATATGGTGACTGTTGGTCAGAATTACTAGCTTGAAGAAACAACTATGTAAGTCTTTTGCTTTGAAAGACTTGGGACCAGCAAAGCAAATTATTGGCATGAAGATCGAAGAGCCAAAAAATTATGGTCGTCACAGGAGAAGTACATTGTGAAAGTACTTCAAAGGTTTAGAATGGGAACGCAAAAGCGGTTAGTTGTCCTCTTACTAATCACTTTAAATTAAGTAACAGTGCCCTTCTACCGATGGAGAGAAGGAAGAAAACGAAAAGGTTCCATACGCTTCAGCAGTTGAAAACTTGATGTATGCCATGGTTTGTACACAGCCAGATATTGCTCATTCAGTTGGGATAGTGAGTCGGTTTCTTTTAAATCACTGGAAAGGAACATTGGACTGCAATGAAATGGATTTTCAGGAAATCACATTTGTAGGGGGAGCCGTGTCGTGACAGTCAAGATTACTGAAGCGTGCAAGCAGTTCCCGTAGATGAAGAAATTCTTGAATGAACTCAGAATTCATCAAGAACGATATTGGATATTTTGTGACAGTTAAAGCGCAATTCACCTTGGAAAGAATTTCTCCTTCCATTTTATCACTAGATCAGGGATGTGTTGGAGATGAAGCTGTTACAGCTTGAGAAGATCCATAGCTTGAGAAGATCCATACAGAAGAAAATGGATTAGTCATGTTGACGAAGATTCTTTCAAAGGAGAAGTTCGAATACTGTCGGTTAGCTGCAAGGATGATGGAGAGTATGGTTAATGACCCCATTTGAGTGTGCAGGGGGAGATTTGTTGTGTCGGTGTCCACTCAAGTGGGACCCACACACATTTTGAAAAGAAGGAATCAAAGTTGGCAGGCTTTTTTTTTTTGACAAAATGTAATGTGGCGGCGCAACTTGAATGAGTTGTACACGGCTCATTAAACACGTTCCTACGCGTTAACCTGCCTATAAATAGAGGAAGATGCAGCTCACAATACACACAGCAAAAGAAAGAAAAAAAAAAATGTAGAGAGAGTTATTTAATTTAGGATGGGTTTCCTAAAACTAGGGAGGGAAAAATAGTGAGAGTTGAGGAAATTATTATGGGTGTTGGAAAACCACTTTGAGGTTGCCTATTATTTTTGTATTACTCTCTGTGTTACTATTAATTTTTAATTTATTTTTTTTAATAGGTGGAAGAATTTTTTTTTAATAGTGGAAGAATTATTCGGAGTTTGTCCCGTGGACGTAGCCCTAAACAGTTGAGGGTGAACCACGTAAATTTCTGTGTGTCCCATTTCCATTTTTCCGCTGCGTTAATTTTCTCTTAATTCTTTGTCAAGTGGTATCAGAGCTGATGCCCAACAAGTGGTATTAGAGCCTAGTTCCCAACAACATCTGTAGAAGGTGACCACACCTTTACAATGGTTGGCTTGCTGGAGCAGATAAACACTACTAGAGATTTGACAAACTATTTGTGGTACTCAACAGAGTGAGTATTATAACAATGGAAGATCTCCATTGTGTTACAGTTTGCATTTTGTGTTAAAACTCACAATCTTTTGCTACTCTGCGTTAGTATGTATATCTTTCGCATGTTTTTTCTTCATTGGCAGTGTTCATATCAACCCCAATGAAGGCTTTCTGAAGAGCGGAAAATATCCTGTTCTTACTGTTCTATCAGCTGGCCATGCTTTGCACATTTTTGTCAATGGTGAATTATCAGGTGGGATTTGTGTTTCAGGCTTTGTACTGTCCAGCTCCGTTTAGCATTAAATATGAAAAGAAAAGCTCGTACTGACCAAATAAACTATTCCATAAATATGAAATGGGGATGAATTGATTTGTAATGTTTACTTGTTTAGACATGCTACTTTAATAGATTGGATATTATCTAAGTGCTAGGCTCTTTTAACTATCCAATGAGCCTTCTCCTAAAATGGAACACGGTAGTAATTTACATGGCTCTTAATTTGAAGGTACACTTTGAGAAGTTTGTGTCAAACTTCCTCACTGTTGCTTTCCGTCGCTCGTTAAAATAACTTTGTTGACTTGTAGCGTTCTATATGTGGTTTGAGGCATAATCTGACCTACAGCATTGGTTTTCTTAACCTTGAACAGGAACTGCATCTGGAAGTCTAGAATCCCCAAAGTTGACATTTAGTCAAGGTGTCAAGATGAGAGCTGCTATCAACAAAATTTCTCTTCTCAGTATTGCTGTCGGACTCCCGGTTTGTACCCTCTCTCTCTCTCTCTCTCTCTCTCTCGTACCCTCTCTCTCTCTCTCTCTCCTCTCTCTCTCTCTCTCTCTCTCTCTCTCTCTCTCTCTTTCTCTCACAGTTTATAACTATCCACGCCAATTGATGCCTTTTTGAGCAGTTTATAAATTATAATTTCAATTTAATACTATTATTCTTTTCCTGATTTTGTTTTGTTGTAGAATGTTGGTCCACACTTTGAGACATGGAATGCTGGTATACTTGGACCAGTGACATTGAATGGTCTCAACGAAGGAAGGAGGGATCTGTCTTGGCAGTAAGCGGACCTACAAGTTTCGTTTTTGAATATATGTCATACCCTTTCTTGTGACACTAGTATGTAAGGGACTCATTTATTTGCTTGCTGCCAATCAGATTGGTCTAAATGGAGAAGCATTGAGTCTTCATTCACTGAGTGGGAGTTCATTAGTTGAGTGGACACAAGGGTCTTTTGTGTCTCATAGACAGCCACTAATGTGGTATAAAGTGAGTATCTAAGACTTACTTCTAAAGATGCTTTGTTAACATGTTTCAATAATCTCATTTGGTATTGCATCAACACATGAATCAGGTACTTTTAGTATTTTCAGAAGAAGTGCTCATTTTCCTAAAAGTAATGCTCATTTTCCTAAAAGTAATGCCAAAAACAAGTTTGTTAAAACATTGCATTTTTTTTTTTCTTTTTGCTCTCCTCTCATAAAACTTAAGGAATGATTTTCTTTTTTAACCGAGAAGCATGCATGTTCTCCCCCCTTTGGAGCCTAGTGCCAGCTTTGCTCCCATAAAATAATTTGCTTTAAAGAAACAGATTCAATAAAGATTTTTAATTTTTTTCAGATTAGAGCCATGCTGCATTTTTTTAAACGAATTTCCCATGGATATCTAGATGTAAAACTAACATCCTTTGAACAATGTCAGACCATGTTCAATGCTCCGCAGGAAGGCAGGAAATACCCCATTGGCTTTAGACATGGGTAGCATGGGTAAAGGTCAAGCATGGATAAATGGACAGAGTGTTGGACGATATTGGCCTGCATACAAATCATCTGGAGATTGCAGTTTCTGTAATTATGCTGGAACTTATAATGAGAAGAAATGCTTAAGTAATTGTGGGGAGGCTTCTCAAAAATGGTAAAGGAAAATTAACTTTGCCTTTTCGAGTCTTTTGTACCACATGTGAAATCCTTGAAAAAAAATTAACTTTGCCTTTTCGAGTCTTTTGTACCACATGTGAAATCCTTGAAAAACTGAAAAGTTGTAATTTCTCAGGTATCATGTCCCTCGTTCTTGGCTAAATCCAACAGGGAACTTGTTGGTGGTGTTTGAAGAATGGGGCGGAGATCCAAATGGGATTTCTCTGGTTAGAAGGGAAGTAGACAGTGTATGTGCTGATATTTATGAGTGGCAGCCAACTTTAATGAACTACATGATGCAAGCCTCTGGTAAAGTCGACAAGCCATTGAGGCCTAAAGTCCATCTACAATGTGGCACTGGGCAGAAAATCTCATCAATTAAGTTTGCCAGCTTTGGAACACCAGAAGGGGCTTGTGGAGGCTACCGTCAGGGAAGTGTAACGCCTTTCATTCTTATGATGCTTTTAACAGGGTATGTCAGTCTTTTTATTTTGTTTACCATCTTTCTTGCTGTAGAATAATTATTTTTAACTGTGATTCAGCAATTAGGACTCTAGTTCTTTGGCTTGGTACAACAAGCTTGTCATTTCTCTGAGTTTGAGGAATAGTTTTCTCAGTCTCTAGTCATGTCCAGCAATGAACTTGCATCTACTGGGCTGAGTTTTGAGAAAATGGGTTTTAGAAGTTGCATTTATTGGTCAACTACGGTTCAGGCAGACTAATTATCTCCGTTCAATGTTTAAGTTCTTGTTCTTTGCTTCGCCCGGTTTTATTCATCCTTTATGTACCCTGATGCATGATTTTCTTCTTGCAGCTTTGTGTTGGGCAGAACTGGTGCTCAGTAACTGTAGCACCCGATATGTTTGGAGGAGATCCATGTCCTAATGTCATGAAAAAACTAGCTTTGGAGGCTGTTTGCACCCGATATGGAAAGCCTTTGGTTTTCTGCAATGCTATTATATGTTCTTTTTCTTGTACATGTAATCTTCTTGGGAAAACAATTCCTTCACTGCTTTTCTTGTAACTTGTAAGAAAGTTTCTTGAGGTTTGAAAAAAAGATCGATGCTTATCAACTATTAAGATCATTTTTAAGAAGTTTTGCTGGATTACTGTATACATTTCTTATGCTGAAGTTTTATTCTTCTGCAAGTCAAGAAAATTAAGATGCTAAAGTTAGTTCCTCATCTGCCATTTCAATAAAAATTCAGATCAATTTTCAAGTTTGGTTTTCAAAAAAACAAGCAATAGCATATACGTTGATGGTTCAGCAATGACATGTCAAGAAAGGTACTTAATAGTAATTTAATGGATACAACCTTATTTAATTACCTTATTATAGTGATGACCTCCAAGAAGACATCATCCAAATATTTTTACATATATTTGAGCATCGGTAAGAAGCATAGCGACAGAGAAAAATGACACAGAAAGTCAACACGTTCTATTAGAGCAAATCAAATAATTGCATGTTAAGAATTTTCACAAAAAAGCTCATAGAAAAGCCACAAGGAAGGAAAAACACTTGCTTTGAACTCTTTAAACAAGCTTGGATTGAAGCTTAAGGATGAAGAAGTTGTTGTAGTGTTCAGTAGCATCACATCAAACTTAGAGTTAAGTTTGGTATTTTAACCTTGTTATGTGAAAATTGAGTTCTATTATTTGAGAGGGGTGTTCTTAATTAGGGGGTCTGGTTTGATGGTATAATTTTTGAAAGAAAATTGGGGGAATAGAAAAGGTTATGCATTTGAGGGAGCTGTACGAAGAATTTACTTAAAGTTCAGTAAATTGTCTTTCATGTTCTTTCTTTCTTCATTGTTTTAAATGTAAAAGAACAATATTTTGATGCTAAAGTTCCTTTCACTTTTTTGATGCTAAAGCCGTCTATTATATGAAAATTGCCATATTACTAATGTTTTGCTATTGTGGTGTTTTCATCGTCCTAAAGATGGTTTGAATCTACCTATGAATTCTCAAAAGTCCTATGAATTCTCAACTGGTTCCAAACGTTATATTCCCTTTTGCTTCTGAGATTGAAGGTGAAAACTATTATGTTTTACCAAAATTGGGGAAATCATTTTCAGAACACATAGAAGTAGCTATTGGAGTAAAACCTGCAAGCAGAATACATTAGAAGTAGCTATTGGAGATGTTCTTTCTTTCTTCATTGTTTTAAATGTAAAAGAACAATATTTTGATGCTAAAGTTCCTTTCACTTTTTTGATGCTAAAGCCGTCTATTATATGAAAATTGCCATATTACTAATGTTTTGCTATTGTGGTGTTTTCATCGTCCTAAAGATGGTTTGAATCTACCTATGAATTCTCAAAAGTCCTATGAATTCTCAACTGGTTCCAAACGTTATATTCCCTTTTGCTTCTGAGATTGAAGGTGAAAACTATTATGTTTTACCAAAATTGGGGAAATCATTTTCAGAACACATAGAAGTAGCTATTGGAGTAAAACCTGCAAGCATATAACACAGACAGAGCAAATTTAGTATTACAAAAGCATTTCCAATTACATTTCCATATAAATATATGTAACACTGTATAACTAGAGTGTTAAGCTTTTCCGGTGATTACTAAAATAATAATAAGTTTGAACAGCCTCCAAATACTCGCTCATCTCCTCCAGATCACATGTTTTGTTGATTATAAAAAGTTTAAGATAATAGTGCAATCGTAAGGTGTGAGGTAAGAAGATGGGCTGGTTATCCTTATATTGCGATGGCTTCTATAAGTGCAGCATGACCATCAATGCGGGAAAACTGGAAAGACACATAGGTAGCTTTGAGGATATCTTGGCCTTGTGTATCTTTATCTTTTAAGACAGTAAATTTGGTGAAGTAGAGTTTATCTGCCTCCAGACAGACCAAAGAGAACAGAGGACCATCTAAATGGACCAGAATCGGGAGACCTGAAGTGAAATTTTCTTGATTGGTGCTAGGTATAATTTCCTCCTCATCACACAAAATATGTGCCGATAGCAACTGTGAATTGGATGGATCATATGCATAAATATCCCCACAATAGCAGTTGTACCAATACACGACGTTATTATAAACCAGGCAATTTCGGATTTCAGGTAAGCATCCCCACTTTCGATGTTTATCCTTATAGCTTATGAAGCTGGAGGACTTGGTGATTTCCCTTGTGAAGTTTAGTGAACTTTCATTCAATAACCAGTCATCAATTGTTGTGCCCTTTTCGCCCGTTGTAATCATTGTGCTGCTTTCATCCAAACTGTACTCATCAATCATATCATCCAAACTGTACTCACCAACCCAAGAGTCAGTAGCAGGATAGTACCGACAGCGGAAGCTGAAGAAGCTGTAATTGAACAACAAAATGCAACCCCTGTCTTCTAGAGGCACAGCAAACAAAGGATCATCAGTTAGCAAATCCGAGGGTGGGGCACTGATAAATTTCCATCCAAAAGTATCTGGATCATATACCTCACCCCAATATCTTACATCAAGTTGGTGTGCAGGGGCTAACGGACCTGGATGTATTCCGCCAAATGCATAAATCTTTCCTCTAAAAGAGACAGCAGCACAGGATTTTCTTTCTCTGTTCATGTTAGGAATGATGATAGGGTCGCCGGTCATTGCATCGAAGGCCTCAACTTTGTTGTGCATAAAATAACTTCCATCTATTGAGGCTTCCCGCTCTTCTATAAGTTTTTCCCATCTATCTGCAAAAGCTAGAAAACCCTCGTCTTCGTCAGAATCTGGGGAATCTGGATCAGATGCATATATTACTTCAACTGGATTGAAATCGGTTCGGCCCCCAATTATATAAACAGTAGAGCCGGTCAATGCAGTTCCAGACTCTTTTGTATAATCAAGTGTTTTAATGGGCTGCAGAAGTATACCATCGCCATGAGAATTTCGAAGCTCCTTTAAGGACATTTCTTTCTGATGTGAAAGACGTGCCCTGAACCAAACGCTCTTCCATAGGTCGTCATCGAAAACAACAGAGATCAATACATACTTGTCATGCGTGTGCGAAAGATATCTCTTTTCAGTCTGAACAGATTCCCCAAACAAAGTTCTCATCATGATCATGGCGACCATGCCAGAAAGGAAGACAACAATCATCAGTGAGTTTATGATGGAGAAAAAATGGATCTGATCATCATTCATGAGTAGGTAGGTGTCCCATCGAGATGCCCATTTAATGTCACTTTCCTACAAAAAGACTTCAGAAGTCAAAAATCTGTACAGCAAAAAATTAGACAGGCTCACAAGAGAGAGAGAGAGAGAGAGAGAGAGAGAGAGAGAGAGAGAGAGAGAGAGAGAAGTGATAGAGAGAGAGAGAGAGAAGAGAGATGGACAATAACAGGGATTAGGGAAAAAAGAAGCAAAACAAGAGTTAGAGAGAGAGAGAGAGAGAGAGAGAGAGAGAGAGAGAGAGAGAGAGAGATGGAAAACAGATTAGGGAAAAAGAAGCAAAGACAAGAGAGTACCTTGAAGGTAACATCATATGTGAACACAATTGCCTTGCCTGAATCAACTTCTTGTGGAACGGTGCTACCTTGAATCAATTTTTTGGTATCCTTGTTGCATGTTGTCACCTGGGGATTATTATAATCCCATTCCTTGTACTCATGATTGATGCTGTTTACAAGAATCAATTAAAATTAACAGGAAATAAATAAGTTAAAACTATTTCAACACCCATATAGAGCAAACACAACATGCAAGAAGAGTTGAATTGCATAGTGAATGCAGTGTGCAATATGCAATTGGCTTAGAGAAACATTACGAAAATTTCAACAGGATATTCAATAAAATACAAAAAAGGGAAGGAAGCAAGCATACAACAAGGAGACAAGCTAGGTGAATGTGTCTTTGGCATAAAAGTGCACTGCAATCTATAAAAACTCAGTGCCACATATTTAAGTCAAATACTATTGCAAGCTCAGTAAAAGTAATAAGTTGAAGCACCAATCATATACATGTTCCATTCAAGCACTTAAATGTTCTTTTTTAATGTTTCTTTTGCCCTAATGTCATTGCTACTTCCAGAATCTCGAAGCAGACAATAAACCACACTCGTTCATATCTACCACTCGCACAAGGCAGATCAACCCAATAAAATCTGAAAAGTGAAATAAAACAGAACAAGATGCTACAACACCTGTTTGCAATAACCTCAAATCCAACAATTCGAGCAGAGCCTGACTCAGGATCCTTGTGATACATAACTCTAAAGCTAAGGTGGTTATTGATAAAGTATTTCTCCTCTTTACTCTGTAAGACAAAAAAACAGAAATAGTCAGAACAAAAGTAAAACAGAAGCCTTCAATGCTATATAGTGCTTTCATAAACATACTCCAGCATAATTTCCTTTGAACCCAACACGGAAACCATGTTTGTAAGTTGTTGACAGACTGGCACCCCTCCTTTGACTAAGTACAGCAACTGGAAGATTATCGAGAATCCTGCAAATCCATTTCCCAGCTATCAATACAAAAAAGAAACAATTTTGGAGTGAAAATGAACATGCAACAGAGGAGTGCAAAATTAGCATACTGTATAAACATGAAACAGACATATTGCAAACCAAAAAGCAACAGATGGGTGAATTTTAAGAGGGAAAAAAGTGAAATGCAACCATGCAATCAGAACTCAAAATAACAAAAACTGAACATGGTAAGCACATCTCCAACTTACATGTTAACTCGATACTCATCGTCAATCTTTTCTTTAAAATTCTTAGCAGACTCAGCATCAAGTATCATTCGACAAGCCACTTTGCACGGCTGCTCTTCCATCATTTCAAACTGGAGCGGGATCCAGATCCAAAGGTGGCAATCAACAAAATTCATCCCCCGTTCAGTTTGGTATTCAAGTACCAATAAATAGAAAGAGAAAGGATGGTAGATGCTTACATTGTATACAGAGTTCTCGATGCGGTCACCTCGAAGAACCTCCCCCAAATTTTCAGCACTGTTCACAATTTTATCAGGCTTACAATATTTTAAGTAGTAGTAGTCATATGGAAGTTGTGTCTTTGTAGATGACAATTTGTTCACTTTGACAGAAAGGAAGTCACCCTATTTATAGGAAAAAAAAAAAAAAAAAGAAAAGAACTTAGATGGTGAACTTAATAACAAGAGGAAAGTAACAGCCAAATGAAAGATAAAATAAATAAGAACCTCACATCCCTCCCACCACCGCATATACCCACAAGGTAAAGAAGATAGTTCTACTGGAAGTGGACAAAAAAGTTGTACCAAATGAAAGAACTCACCTGTTTCATCATATATCCCAATTCAAGTGCAACTATCTCACTTACCATAAGACCGTCTAATTTATCTAATTTATTGCACTTTTTGGAAGCAATATTCAAACTTCGTACCAGAATTTGACATTCACAAACACGTTTGTTAATGTGGAAAACCACAGTATTACCAATTAAAGAAAACTTAGAGCCTTTTCAATAGCATTCAGTACCCATTCTCGTTTTTACATGCTTCGCATCACTTCTTATACAGACAATATAATATCCTCTTAAAGTGCATTATACATCTCCCATTGTTAAGTCTAAAATACACAACTAACATATCACTCAATCAATCAAAAACACTACAAGAACAAAGAGTACTAGTATAGTCTCAATGTTAAATCACAAGCTCAATTTTAAATATCAACAAGTAGCCAAAGCAACAAAACCACAGATCCAAAGCAAGTGTGAAGCTAAGTAACAGATCTACAAGAATGCAATCAGCAATACAAAGGATCAAACCCCAAAACCCTAGATCCGACTCTACTTTAACCAAACCCGTCAGCTTAAAAAATAACACAAGAAGTAAACCCAATAAACTGAGAAATAGCCAAACAAAATGAAAACGAAAACAAAAAAGCCGAAAAAAGAAAGAACATAAGTAGGTAGGTGATAATACCCTACGAAAGTCACGAGGAGCCACGCCAGGAAGATAGAAGGAGTATGCAGAGGAGATTAGAAGGAAAGAGAAGAAGAGAGTCGCAGAGATTCTCCCCATCTTCGTCTGCTTGATTCCACGGAGGGAGAAATGTCGAGAGATGAGGAAAGGTGAGAGGTTTTCAAGGACAGAGGCGCTGATTTTGACTGTAGCCAGGTTTTCTTGCCTCCTTTTTCCGCCGCTGCCGGAATCCAATTAATCAGCGTTTTTTTTTTTTTTTTAACCTAATGCATATAGATTTAAGGTAGAAACTTACGCGATTTGCTTATTTAGACTACTTTTCTTATGGGAAACTTAAGCCTGTGTTTTCATTTTTCTATAATAATTATATTTTTCTCTAAAATAAAATATAAAATTAAAATTAAATTCTTATAAAATTATTTTTATTTAATGAAAAGATATAATTATTCCAATATTAAAAAAAATATATAGTTATTCCATTAAACTTTAGAATATCATAAGATAAATCATAAAAACTTAAATAGCAAATCTATATATTTAGTAAATAATTATTTGATCTATTTTTTAATTCAAATTTAAACCGATAAATTTTGTTTGATTATATTTAATAAATATAATAATTTTATATATTTTCTCATTTTCATTGATTTTCGATATGATTCATTCATGCAGTTTGATGCATCTAAATTTTTATCTACATGTAGAAACTGTAGGTCTTATGTGGTAATTGTACCATTCATTAAAGAGTTAGTTAGGAAGTATACGAGACTTCCATTTCAACGTCGTCTTCATCTTCATCTTCATTTTCTTCATTTTCTTCATCTTCATCTTCAAAAATTGTTTTAGTCTTACTCATTGTAGATAAACTGTTTAGGTCTCTATGGGTAACATGTAGAAACTGTAGGTCTTATGTGGTAATTGTACCATTCATTAAAGAGTTAGTTAGGAAGTATACGAGACTTCCATTTCAACGTCGTCTTCATCTTCATCTTCATTTTCTTCATTTTCTTCATCTTCATCTTCAACGTCTTCTTCATCTTCATCTTCATAAGTAAGATCCGGCTGAATCTCAATCTCTTCTGCTGATAACACATGCGAGGGGTCTGATCTGTATCTCCTTAACATTGAGACATGAAAGACATTATGAATTCGATCTAAGGTTGGAGGTAATGCTAGGCGATAGGCTAATGGTCCTACACGTTCAATAATCTCGTATGGACCAATGAACCAATGAACCTAGGACTTAAGCTTACCCTTTTGTCCAAACCTTGTCCAAACCTTAGGATCTTTTTCCATGGGGAAACCTTCAAAAATACTTTATCCCCAACTGAATACTCAATGTCTTTTCTCTTTAAATCAGCATAGGACTTTTGGCGGTCACTTGCTTCTTTCAGCCGTTTCCTGATGCTCTCCACTTTCTCTTCTGTTTCTCTAACCAAATCTGGACCCAAAATCTTTTTCTCACTAAGTTCGGTCCAACACACAGGTGTCCTGCATCTTCTACCATACAATGCTTCATATGGTGCCATCTTGATGCTCGATTGGTAACTGTTGTTGTAGGCAAATTCCATGAGAGGTACATATTTGTCCCAACTGCCTTCAAAGTCAATAACACATGATCTCATCATGTCTTCCAAGATTTGGATTACTCTTTCTGATTGGCCATCTGTTTGAGGATGAAATGCAGTGCTGAAATGCAGGTTCGTTCCTAATGCTTCTTGCAGTTTACCCCAGAACTTCAATGTAAATCTTGGATCACGATCAGAAATAATGGATGATGGAACTCCATGTAATCGAACTATTTCACTAACATAAATGTCTGCTAACTTGTCCAGAGAATAGTCCGTCCTGACCGGTAGAAAGTGAGCTGACTTGGTTAATCTGTCCACGATTACCCATACTGCATCATGCTTCCGCTGCGTCTGAGGTAATCCGGTAACAAAATCCATCGTGATCTGATCCCATTTCCATGGTTGGCAACTGTTAGTTGGATGAAGTAATCCAGTTGGTAGTTTGATGTTCTGCTTTTACCTTTGTTGACATGTTAAACATCTTGTTACAACATCTCCGATGTCTCTCTTCATGCCTGGCCACCAGTAGTCTTTCTTCAAATCTTGATACATCTTGGTGCTACCTGGATGCATTGTATATGGACTGTTATGAGCTTCATGCAGAATCTTTTGTCTAACCTCCCCTGTCTGTGGTACAACAATTCTAATAAAACAATACTCCACTGCTATCCAATCTGAATTTCCCACCATGGTCTTCCTGTACTTGTTTAACCCATAGTGCTATTTGTGCATCCTTCTTCTGTGCTTCTGCAACTTCCTGAACCCAAGATGGCTGTACTTGCATCTGTGCTAAAATAGCTCCTTGCTGTTGTAACTCCATGTTGATTCTCATTAAGCTCAAGGCATACAAGGATTTTCGGCTAAGGGCATCTGCTACTACATTAGCTTTGCCCGGATGGTAATTAATGACATAATCATAATTAGCCAGAATCTGCATCCACTTCCGTTCCACTTCCGTTGTCTTGAATTTAAATCCTATTCTGTGTCGGTAAATACTTTAAACTCTGAATGATATGTATACATGTAACATTTTCACCATACAGATAATGCCGCCATACTTTGAATGCTAGAAAAATTGTTTGCCAGTTTCTAAATATGGGTTGGATATTCAACTCATGTGGTTTCATGTCTGGATAGGCCACCACTTTCCTATCTTGCATGAGTACACACCCCAACCCAGTATGAGAGGCATCACTATAAATCTCAAAGTCTTTACCTGACACTGGCTAGGTTAACACTGGTGCTTCAGTCAACTTTCTCTTCAAAGTGTCAAAACTTTGCTGGCATCTATCATCCCATTGAAATACAACCTCTTTCTTCAACAGTCTTGTTCAAGGTGATGCAATGATGGAGAATCCTTTTACAAACCTTCTATAATAACCGGCTAAACCTAGAAAACTTCGAACTTCCGTGACATTCCTGGGTGGTCTCCAATCAACAATAGCTTCAATCTTCTTCGGATCCACTCTGATACCCTCTGATGATCAATCTTCTTCGGATCCACTCTGATACCCTCTGATGATACCACATGTCCTAAGAAAGAAACTTCTTCTAGCCAAAACTCACACTTACTGAGTTGGCATATAGCTGTTTATCTCTCAATGTCTGAAGTACAATCCGCAAATGTTTATCATGTTCAACTTTGTCTCTTGAGTAAACCAAAATGTCATCTATAAACACCACTACGAACTGATCCAGGTATGAATGAACACGCGGTTCATGAGATCCATGAAAACCGCCGGTGCATTTGTGAGACCGAATGGCATTACTACAAATTCATAATGACCATATCGGGTCCTGAATGCAGTCTTAGCGATGTCTTCTTCCTTTATACGCAACTGATGATATCCCGACCTGAGGTCGATCTTAGAGATCTTAGAGAACATACCTGCACCTTTTAACTGATCAAACAAATCATCAATTCGAGGCAATGGATACTTATTCTTGATTGTCAGCTTATTCAACTGTCTATAATCAATGCACAGTCTGAGTGAGCCATCCTTCTTCTTGACAAATAATACCGGTGCTCCCCAAGGTGACACACTGGGTCTGATAAAGCCTGTATCCAATAACTCTTGTAGCTGAATCTTTAACTCTTTTAGCTCCGCTGGTGCCATTCTGTCAGGTGCAATAGATACTGGTGCTGCTCCAGGATAGACATCTATGGTAAACTCCACTTCCCTCCGTGGTGGTAACCCTGGTAACTCATCTGGAAATACGTCTGGATAATCACATACTGTTGGTATCTCTTTGAACTTTTGGACTTTTCTTTCTCTGCTTGTAATGCACATCACCAAAGTATGGCTTCCAACCCTTCTGATTAATCTTTTTTGCTGCCTGGCTGATATCACATTACAGAAAATCTCGCCGCTTCCCGACTACTGTAAGTCTCTTCCCCTGCTGGTGTATATACTGTCACCTTTTCTTTGCCACAATCAACTAAGAGCATTATGTCTGGATAGCCAATCCATACCCAGAATAACATCAAATTCTCCTAAAATGGCAACTCCATAGATCTCCTGGAAACTCCTTTCCATGAATACAATTGGACCAGTCTTTGACCACTTGTGTGAGTTTTTACTACATCTCCTAATGGAATTAGTAACCAAACATGCTGACTCACATGTGCAACTGCTAACCCTTTTACCCAAGGTTTAGGCACACTAATGTATGAATGAGATGAGCCAGGATCAATCAAAGCATAAACTGCATGATTACATAAAGAAAACTCACCAACTATTACATCTGGTGTTTCCTCATCTTCTCTGGCTCGCATGGCATAAACCCTGGCTGGACCTCTGGTATCAGGTCTGTCCATAGTCTCTGACTGCTGTCTCTGCACTCCGGAGGGCTCACCTCTACCTCGGCCTGCTATAACCTGTGTCGGAACTCTTGCCCTTTTAGGGCAATCCTTCTTTTGATGGTCTGATGCTCCGCAGATCCAACATTTACCAGTCACCAACCAACAATCTCCACTATGTCATCGGCCACAATGCTCACAAGGTGGTAAAGTATAACCGGCTGACTCTGTACCTGTACCGGTGCCTCTACCAGTACCTCTGCCTGGACCTCGACTACCACCAGCAGAACTAGCCACAACTGATGCCGCTGGCACATTGGTGCCCCTGGCTAAGCCTTGGCTAAAAGGAGGCCTAGAACCAGCTGAACTACTAGCACCTCTGAATCTCTTGCTCTCCGGCTGATATGTACTCGGTGCACTCTAAGTCTGGTCTCTCCTCTGTTGAGACCGCTGGCGCCTAGTACGTTGATTGGCCTGTATTCGCTCTATCTCCTGAGCTGCCTCTACCAAAGCTGAAAATTCTCTGAATCGGGAAGCTACCACTCCCATTTGAATTTCATCATTCAGGCCTTCTTGAAACTTTTTACACCTCTCGGCCTCTGTAGCTGATAAGTATAAATTTTATAGTGTTTTTAATATAGTTTTTGTTAAAATTTTAGTAAGTTTTTATTACTTTAATTTGGTTTTAATCACTCTTAGCATAATTATGATCAAAAGCTTCCTTGCAAAAGCTTCCTTGGTCTTTAATCCGCTTGATCTAAGAGAAAATTGTAGGATTTTGGCGCAGAAAAGAACTTTAGAATGCAAGGCACTCAGCTCTAGCACGCCCTAGCCGTGCTAAGTGGCACGCCCAAGTCGCGCTACGAAGTAAGTCTCAACAAAGAAAAATGGCCAAGTCACGAGCGCGACTTTCAAATGCGCGAGCGCGACAAGCAGAAAAGA